CTACGCCATGGGGTTGCTCGGCAAGATTAGGGGTGAGTACCTGCGAAAGCCAACGCTTGCTCGCCGATAACGCGCAGCCTAAAAGGGTAAACAACATTATCGTGCAATAAGAAACGAAAACTCGACTGGTCTCAGAGTCGTTTTTTGATGACAATGCTCTCCTTTTATGAGCTTCATTGTGGCCGGTATGCTTCGGTGAAATTTTCCTTTCTTAGACAAAAGTTTTAAGCATGCAACTTGATTCTTTACCATATAATGCATTCAGCAGGTGCCGTTATTGTAGGAATTATTAGTAATAGAAATCTCTGGGATAAATTCGTAAAATACAGAATTATTGTATTAAAGCTTATGGTAGCCTACTTCCCGTAATCTAAGGATTTGCGTTGTTAGTGTCATATTAGTTTTTGGCTTGTATACAGCCAGTATCTCTCCAACGCTGAAAATACGTCGTTTCAACGATCATCAAACTCGTCTGGTTGGTTTAAAAGTTATATGAGAGAGAAGAAATAAAGTCTGCAGTGAACAACATTTTCGCTCTTCCCTCCTCACCTGGATAAAACAAAGCCAAAACCAGACAAATTCTGCACTCCTTTTTATGTCGCTTTGATAAAATAATAAAAATGATTATTAATTGTTTCTGGAGCAAAGAGGGAGAAAGGAATATATGAGACATTAAATGTAAGAGAGATATAGATAAAGAGAGAGAGAGGGTGAGGAAGAGAGAGGGTGAGGGAGAGAGAGGGTGAGGGAGAGAGAGGGTGAGAGAGAGAGAGAGAGAGAGACAGACAGACAGACAGACAGAGAGAGACAGACAGTTGTCTTTTTAAATATTACATGACGCTAAAACTTTTGTTATTTCATAATATGAACTTCATATGCCAAAAATACGTATTCGCTTAACGACGGGTGTAAGCTCCTGTTATTTTACAGAAGCTTACACTCGTCGTTAAGTGAATACTTATTCTTCATCATGTTTTTTATCAAAAAATTAAAAGCGCAAATAATTGATAATTTACATAAAACTGCAGGGAAGAATCATCTATATTTTAGTAAAATATAAAATATAAAATAGAAATAGAAACTCCCCCGAAACCAAAGGGAAAACCAAAAATCGATTTCTTCTCTCGGGAGATTACGTAAGGTCGAGAAGTGCTGCTTGGGCGCGAGGGGCAGCTTCCACGCTGCGCAGGTGAAAGGTGCGCGTCGGACTCCCGCGGAGTAGAGATGCGACTTCGATGTCGATGTTTCCAAAACATCAATTTTTTCAAAACATCGACGTTTTCTTCAACATCGATGTTTTGTGTTCGATGTCTTCTTCTTTTCCGATGTTTTGTTTCTCAATGGAAAATTCCCATAATCACAGTACTATAAAAGTTGAAATATGAAATAATAACTGATAGTAACACTGTTATTCATGTGTTGGTACCATAGGAATGCCATTTGCACTACCTTCATCGACCAAACTCTCTCGCCCGAGATGACCTTCATGCTCTTGTATTTCCTATTTCTTCATATTCATTTCGCACATGGTCAACAAATACGCTGTGGACGCAGTGTCTGCCCCTTCTCGTACTCTTATTCGGCGAAATGATAAACAAGAACAGTGTCTATTAAATTTCAATGCACACGAATTTAATGTTAGAGGTTACTAATCCAGTGTAAAAACATCAATGTTGAAAAACATCGATTGTGTTTATTCAATGTATTTTTAAAATCGATATTTTAATTTTGAACATCGATGTTTTGTTATTTATGTCGCATCTCCACCTCGAAGGCGACGGTGTTTCCCCCAAGTGGCCGGGTTTTCAAACACATTGTATCGCATCTCAAACACAGTCGAATTCGCAATTAGCCTTCTAGTGACGCAACCAGGAGATTTCTGTGGAGGCGGTTGTTGGTGCAGTGTCCAGTGCACTTGAAGTTTTCTTATAATATTTCATTTATGCTGAATTTAAAATAGTCATCATTATCATTATTATTATATTATTATTTGTTGATTTATTGTTAATTGTTTCACAATTAATTTGATATAGAATGACTTTCGTTACTATAAAAAGGGAAAAAATGTCTGTATGTGGAAATATTATACGTTTGTCATCTCCAATGCATTGCCTCCCATCTACTTTCCGGGAATGATCATGAAATGAAACACAATTGTAACTATCTTTGACCAGAATGGTTTTGGTTTCTCTAAAACGTGATTCCTCACTATATTGCAGACTCTTTTGGCGAGTTCTTTTCCCCATTTACAGACTATACTTCGCGTCCACGTCTACATATTCCTCCTCAAAAATACAGACGTGAATTGTGACCGTTCAAATAGTGGGGAAACTACAAAATTGTCATCAAAACACCCCGTCATCAATTATGTTCCCTGCTTTACATATTTTGAAGTCATGTTTTCAGTAATAGCAGCCAGGGGTTTCCAGAGAACACAAGAGGCCAGGGAGCTCTTATTTCGAACGAATGTTCGGCCCTACCCCATACATAAACATAATTCATTTTTTCAAGCAACAGAAATAATATAGAGATGTTAATTTAAGCAAATACCTTTCTCATTTGTTTTAAATTTTAAAAAATAATTCCAGACTCCAATTAAGTCGGGCCGCAACTGCCTTCCCATCTGGGTGCCCCTGACAGCCACGACCATCTTTGGCCACTGGGCAACCATCTCTCTGTTATCCCTGTGACGGTGTGCGTTTCCTGTGCCCCGCAGACTTCGTGCCGGCGCGCTACGTGCTGTGTCTGATGCTGTTCTTCGGCTTCATGGTGACGTTCCTGCTGCGCGTCAACCTCAACATGAGCGTGGTGGCGATGGTGGCGCGGCCGGCGGCGGCAGCGGAAGCTTCTACGGGCGACGCGCGCGCTCCCACGACCGGCGGCTATTGCCCGCGCCACGCGCCGCCCGCGCCGCCCGCCACGACCACCACCCAACGCGCGCTGCCGCCCAACGCCTCGGACGCCGAGGTACGCGTCCCTCATCGGCTTGCGCCAGACCTCAACCGCTTACAAGAAGAAACACACCGCGCATGCGCTAAAAAATGTGTGGCCGCTGCGCCCCTTCCTACACCTTTTGATCGGGAAAAGAGGCTCAGGGCATTAACTGATGTCACTGCAGTGCCTCTGACCAGAAGGTCCTAGGATCGAGTCCCGACAGCGACAGGATTTTCAACTCTAGCTTATTAGCTATGTTGAGTTCAGTCGCAGTCTGGAGGAGAAATCTGGCGACCGGTTGCTCTGATCGGTAGTTTTCTGTGATTTCTCCGATCAATACCCGGCGCAGAACCCTAACAAACGAGCCACGGATCGCGCGCGATCTTTCCTTCCTCTTCCTTTTCATATCCTCAACACTACTTACACAAACTTATAGCATGCACTACTCTACCACACGTGTCGGGAGCTTAGAGCTTGTCCCGGCTGGGGCGGTGCCCCGCTGGTGCAAGATACCTGGTTGGGGAAAACCCCGCTAGCCGACGGGTAGGTCGGCGCTGGATCTCGCCATCCAGCGGGGGAATATCACCGCCACCTCCAGATTTAAAACATGCACTACACGTACGGAACTAATGACCTTTGCTGTTGACGCGCCCGGAATCACTAACTCCTAATCAATCACTTTACCTTTGAATGATGCCGGGCAGTCAGCTACATCTTTCCCTTCGCCCTCCAAGATATCGCCATGCGTTCGACGTCTGTGACAGTTGATACCCATGTCTGTGTCTAAACTGAGTACAATTCAAGTTCATTCACACTCTACCTACCATCTACGAATAGTTGATGAAATTTAAACAAGATCAAGTTTTCTTTAAGATTTTCTTTTAAAACATATTCATTAGATAACTATAAAATATGTAGGTCAACCATATTCAATAGCAACGTTTACATCCCCCTGATAGATGTCAGATTTTTTACTTCTCTTTTATTACACATAGAAAAATAAATAACAATACTGTATTTGTGTATTTATCTTATCTGATCCTCTTTTATAAGTCGTTTACTTTTGCGTTCGGAATATATTAAATGATTCATTATAACCGATGAAATAATGATTGCCTAGCAACAGCATCTTGGTACTTAATAAAATACATTCAAAAATAATACCGAGTACTTTCTTCAACTTAACGAAAAACTTAAGATGTATACAATATTGAAGCGGATTTAATATAATCTTCTTTCACTCACAATATAACGTTTTATTACGCACTTTCTCACCAAAATATGAAAACAGATTGGCGCAAACATTGGAAATTGACGTTTCCTTTCTGCACTCCACAAACTAACATTCCGCTGATCAATTTGTATTTCAGGTGCTGTCGGTAGCAAGTGCCGCCGCGGGAGAGTTTGATTGGGACGAGATGCAACAAGGTGTTATCCTTGGCTCTTTCTTCTGGGGTTACTTGGTCTTCCAAGTGCCAGGAGGTCGAGTGGCAGAATTGTACGGTGCAAAACGCATCTTCGGAGGCGCCATTTTACTCAACGGCTTCATGTCGCTGGTGCTGCCATCTGCCGCGCGGCTGCACTGGACGTTGCTACTCGTCATTCGCGCAATGCAAGGACTCGCGCAGGTGTGTGGGGCAGAGTGTGCGCGGTTCCTAATTAACTTCCGACTTAAATTACATTAAAACTAATTTCGTAAAGTATACTAACTTCATGTCGTATACTTTCTGACATACCGGCGTTGTCCAGGTTAGGTTGACCTGAATCAACTATTACTAAAAACGGCATTAAATCTATTACTGCAGGAAATATCTGCCTTAAGTCATTTATTTCATTATTACCGTTGAAGTGCATAAAAAGCTTTTTAATCGCCTACAAAAACGATCTTGAGAAATTGATGGAAAGACTCATTCCGAAACCCATTACTATTGCCTACCTCTCAAAAAAGCTTTGTAATCGTATACAAAAACGATCTTGAGAAATTGATGGAAACACACATTCCGAAACATTACTATTGCCAACCTCATACAAGTCTCAATTGTGTCTGACGGAATCAATGTAAAGTGCGCTCCGCCCTCCTTCGCCGGTCTGCCCGCTCCGCCACACCTAGGTGCATTGCGATGTGCGTACCACGCTTAAAACTGGAATGCTATCACTGCCCATTGTTAGACGACCATGCAAGTATAATAAAACCGGGACCGGCAGAAGGCAGCACAAATTACAATATATTTTGACGGTTGGGGCAACTGTCCACTTTCATGTCGGGGAAAGAGTCCTGGTGCGGATTTTTGCATCACTTGTAGAGAATTGTAGCGCATCTTGAAATTTATCCAGGAAGGCTCATTATTCAATTCCAGGTACCTGAACTGTTTGGTAAAATGTTCATGAAGGATTGTAGGATTGACAAGGCTTTTGATGTCTGTGTTTTTGTGCTCATTGACAAATTCAAATTTGGGGTGGAAAACATCTTTTACATGCCACAGACTAGAAACCCATTTCTCCTGCTACCCTGCCAGATGAGTTGGCATTCAGAGAAGTTCCTGAAGTACATAAGTCATGTAATCATAAATCAGTCATCGGAGGTATCGTCAACTGTACTGAGCAGGATCAGCCCTCTCCCAAGGAACGCGATTCTCCGAATTGTGATACTTCAGAATATCGCAGAAAACAAAATTACTCTGCATCGGACATTATGCCCTACACCCCACCCCCCGAAGACAGGATTGAATAGAAAACGAACGCGGCGAGGAAAGAAGTCCACCATACTGACTTCACCTCACAATACTGCACTTGAAATGGAGAAATAACAGCCCAGAAATGTCAATAGGAAATCGCTTTGTAACTTCACAAATAAGAGAGGAAAGGGAATACCAGTTGTCACTGAAACTACTTCGATAGGGCTATGCTCTACTCGCGAAATGAAACTCGAAGACCCTCCAGCTGATGACTGGATCCAATACGATTCGTGTGAAGAGTAATGGCATGAAAATGAACTTCCTATGAGGGAGGGAAATTTCTGTGATTTGTGTAAGAATTGAAGTACACAGAATCTGCTTTCATTTTCTTTATGAGATTTTTTACCAGAGTGTAATTTATAATTGGAGAATTTATTATATTATAGAATCAACGTATCACGTTTAATATTTTGCCAATAAATCAAATATTACATATAATCATGCGTATCAGCCTTGTAAATATTAATTTATTTCTAAGGAAGTTTAGACGTTTTGAATATTCAGACTTATGCCCTCTTTGTTTGGGACTTTTACCCTGAACCTGGAGTAAAGTCGAAACTTCCTTCTTTAATTTATTTTTTTAGACATGAAATTTAAAGATCGCCATTCTTGTTCGGACAGATTATTCTTCATGCATTAAGCATAGCTCTACATAAAAATCTAATAAATATACCAATTACACGTGTAGAAATTGACTTTTTTTTAAATAAAAAATGCTGGCTCTTGCCTCAAGTTACACTACTATTTTTGATTTTCAAAAATTGCACAATTCTATTTAAATATCTAAGACATCGTTAATATTTACATGGAATGCAGTTTTATACATTATTGCATGTGAGTACACATGCTTCAAATGATATCTAATGTAGATCCTGGAAAACCAAAAAGTTTTCTGTGAAAATTAGCTTCAAATTCCAGATTTTCAGAAATACTTAAACATTTTTGGAAAAATGCCTCCATTTCTTTCTGGAAATTATTGTTGTGGATAGGGATACTGGCACTGAATTACATGACATAAAAGCCATTTTTACTTTCCTGTATACATGCGTATACACGGATATACATACGTATATACGTAGTATGGGAAAATTTATTTAATGCTGCTGAAAATCGATTTCGAGATTTCAACGGAAATTCACATGTTGTGGTTCCCTGATAGCAAAAAAAGTTTTTGTTTTTTTTTCAAAACGTCCGTCCGTCCTTTAGTCTATGAACGCCGCTAGCGCCTAAACCATACATACATTTTTATCCAAAATGGATATTCCCCTTCCGATCTGGCTCCACTCGAGACGCCGCGATTCTGAAAAACTATCTTCAAAATTTGAGGTGACTTTACATGAAGATTCCGGAAATTTTCAATATTTTTTCAAAAACGGCTCCAAATTTCTTCTTCAAATTTATTGTAATAATAGAGTAAAATACACTTGTAAACGTGGAATACGTCCGATTTTCACGGTTAACTCTAAATTTTCGATACTTGCAAAATTTTGAAATTTTTGGCGTGTTCTTACTACTACAAAAATGAAAATTGAGTTTTTTCCTTCAAATAAAATTTGTTGTACACAACTAGTTCCTTTATTACGGCCATGTACATTTTATTGACAATTTTAGTAGTTTTCGCCCAATATTTGCAATTTTAAAAAATTACAAAAAGATTTGCTCAAAAACGGCTTCAAATTTTTTCTTTAAATATTTGATAGGGATTGTACTAAATACACTCTGTAAGATGACATAAACGCCATAATTTTTTTAACTTCTCTCACGTCGTTAATCTTTTCATTAGCGGCAATTTGTTTATATTAATGTATTTATGAATACATGTTTTTTAAATAATGTTAAAGTTTCCCCAAAACTCAAATGTTTTCTGTAAAAATGAGCTCGAAATCCTGCATCAAACTTTTCCAACAGATAGTGCTAATTGCACTGTTTAAGCTGACAATTGATTTTTCTGTATTTATTTGTTTGAAAAATTACCTTTTTTTTTGTTTTGTTTTGTTTGAAATGATTCTCATGCCTTTAATATGCACATTTCCAGTGAGTTATACGTAAACACTATTGCATTTGTGTATCGAGGTACTTGAAATGACTTCATATGAAGCTTTTCGAAAATTTAATAGTTTTTTGTGAAAAGAGGCTACAATAAATTGCACCATGGGTTGCATGTGGCTTGCGGGCTGCCAGTTGGACAACCCTACTCTACTCTATAATTAAAATAGAAATACAAAAGAAGTAAAATCAATGTTTTATATCTTCGAGTCAGGCCTCTCCCTAGGCTTACAGCTCTAGTGCACATGAATTTCTCAAAAATTTAAAAATTATAATGCAGAGATTGTAGACAACTGGGTAAATTGTCATAGAAATAAAAAGGGCCAGAAATTTGTATTATGGTTATAGTCCATTGTTCTGAATTTGATTCAAACACAATTGCAATCAATAATGTAACATAATTAATTGAATTTATTAGGTAAATTCAGAACACAATGAGACATTAAGTATCAAATACAATTTGCAAAACATGTTGAGCAAAATTCTTGAAAAAAATTTGGACTCATTCAATCATTTTTATTTGATTTTCACATTTACATACTGCAGGTGGTCTTGACTTATGATTATCTTTAAGATGGTCATTTTAAAGTATGTTCATTCAATTTTTGTTCCCATTAATCTTAAAATATTTTTCTAAAGAAACAACACTATAGCTATTTTCATAAAACATAATATGTTATAGGGTGTCTTGTTCCCCTCGCTGAATGCAGCAGTCTCTCATTGGGTGCCTGTAGCAGAGAGAGCGAAGTTCTTGTCATTTACAGTCTGTGGTGTGTATTGCATGAATTCATCTTCTAGTCATTCCCTTTGAATACTATTCTGAAACCCAAATTTCTTCAAATTGTATTATTTGCTTCAGTAATTTGAACATTTATGTACTAGGAGCATCACTGGGGACAGTTATCTCAATGCCCTTATGTGGGGCTATTTTGTCTTCTTGGGGTTGGGAAGCTGTTTTCTATGTCAGTGGAATATTGGCGCTGATATGGTCAGGGGCCTGGTGGTTACTGGTCTATGAGACACCAGATCAGCATCCCCGCATATCACCCAAAGAGAAGCAGTATTTGGCAAGTTGTATATCTACACACAGGGATAAGGTGGGGAAAAAAGAAAATATACCTTGATGTTGGTTATTACAATTTAATATGTGAAGTTACTGGGTAAAAAAGGGTTTGTTCAACTCCCTTTTCAGACTTATCCAGTACCGTGGAAAGCTGTGTTTACGTCATGGCAGTTTTGGTTAGGATGTATAGCTGCTTGGGGTAGTGATTGGGGCTTTCATACATTTCTTACTTTGGGACCCAAGTACATTAAAGAAGCATTGGACTTTGATTTAGAACAGGTAGGTAATGAACATTACTGGCAATTTTGTCTTAACGAGAAAATATGAATAATCTGAATTTTTAATATTTTTACAGAGTAGTTGGCTGGCATCTCTTCCATTTCTCTGTCAATATGCTTTCGCAATAATTTATGGTATCATTGCCGATGAATTATTGAAGAAGGGGTATAGAGTTCTGGTTGTCCGTAGAGTCTCCACAATCATATGTAAGATATTTAAAAGTGATTTGGCTTCAATCAATATTCTCGAATGTACGTTCATAAGGTTTTGTTTTCAGCTCATGGAGGTCCAGCCCTCTTGGTTGTAATCCTTGCATTTGTAGGTTGCAATGTTACTGCATCCATTGCAATTCTGACCACTGCAGTTAGCCTTATAGGGGCGTTCTCGGCTGGATTTTTCCAGAACCCTCTAGATGTAGCTCCAAATTTTGCTGGTAAGAATTTTATACCACACAATCCCTCTAAGCATAAATGCCACATTATACTAAGAGCTAACGGTAATGAAGACATTAAAAGTCAACAAAAATACAAATGTTTGTATTTTGTATTTCCTTAGGTTCATTGACTGGTATCATGAATGGCATAGGTTCTATGACTGGTGTAATATCACCGCCACTAGCAGGTGTAATTCTTCACAATATGGTAAGTTCTGAGCAAGCAAATTATTTTTTTTCATTGAGAAAACTTACATGATCTTAACTCCTCTGCAGGGACTATCAGGTTGGCCTGTTATATTTTGCATTGCTGCTGCAATGTATCTTCTGAGTTGTTTGCCGTATGTGCTTTTTGTCACTGCAAAAGTACAACCATGGAACAATGTGCAAAGTATCTCAAATGAAAAACATGCTGAACTACCCATGATATCACACTGTCCTCAAAATGAAAATGGTGAGGAAGACTCTCCAGAAAATGAAAAAATTAACCCAAATGTGGTATGATACCTCAGTTCATCACTGGACGATGAAACAAGTGATGAGAAACCATGAAACAGAAGTGTTGACTGTATCACTGAGATTTAGTGGTCACAAGAAAGGAACATGTTTTCAGCAAATAAACAAAGAAAGAGGAGAATTATTGAATTGAAACACTTGTTCTGAGATAAAATGATCATGTAAAAGCAAGAAATAGTTTTCCCAAACTATTTCTTTGGATGACTGTATCACGAAAGACTTGCCACCTGAAGTTGTGCTGGTTGAAAACATTCAAATGCATAAATTAATATTTTCAGGCAAGGAACTCTTGTAATATACAATCGTGTCCACTGCCACAAACAGGATCATGAACAAAATACAAGAATCTTTTTGTCGCACAAGAAAGATTGAGCACTTGTTTCTTGTGCCACAAACGGAACAAAAGCATTTTTGACATTCCAAATATGAAGAATTTGGAATATAAATTCTTTCAATGATGTAAAATGTGTCCTCAGTATATATAAAACATTCCACATAGTGTCTGAAATTTTTCCACATGAGTAAAACTTAATGTATATTAGTGCTAGAAAAGGATACAAAAACTGTTATCAGACTTGCTAAATATGTTGTTTGTATTTTCAAACTTACAAGTATACAGAATGAAAAATGTTAAATAAATTACAAAATTTAAGTATTCTTGGAATACAATAAAGATCATTTTAGAAATATCCAAATCAGTTTTTTGGTAAATGTATTTATCCTTTGATAAAGCATTTGTTTTTTTTTTTAAAATAGCTACTTCAAGAATTTTCAATACAAAGAAGGTAAATAAGTTGTTCAAATCCTGACAGAAAAGAATAAAATTATTCACTTTCTACTAACATCTAATATAAAATTTTAAAATGAACAGATATAAATTGGAAATGCACCTATCTATCCTAAGGCCTATTTAAATCTCTACAATTTACTACACTTGAAACTAAAAATTAAACAGTTAGAAAATTGGTCTTGAAATTACAATCAGTGAGTCAAGTAATAAGTGGTAAAAGAAGTCGTGCATGTTCATAATATACTTGAGAAAAAAAATTTGCTTTTTTATTCACACTATTTATTTTCTTTTTCTTATTGGTTACATAAGAAAAGTGCAATTGTTGCAACAGAGTATAGCACTCAATCTATTTGATTAATGTTTATGCAAAAGTAAAGTTCTGCTCTCTTTCAACAGAACCATTTTGACAAATACTACATTACCTCATTTGGGAACTGAATATTTTACAAATAAGTAGTAGTTTACAACTGTCATGATATTTCTTTCATGAAACAATACAACTTAAAAATATAACATTTAGAACATAAATAGGTGAAGATATTAATGGTTTCTTCAATAAAAAGTAAGAAATTTGACTGCAAAGATAAAAAATTATTACACATTTAAGTACATGGAATATATACGAAATGAACAACATTCATGATTTATTAAGAGTAATATCTACATAATAAGGAACACTGAATGTTGAGAAAGTAAGCACTTTAACCAATATTATTTTTCCCACACTTTGGACAGACATTTCCTCCATGAACCATTTTATGTATATAACATGAAGAACTGGTTTATTTATAAAGTTTAGTTTATAATTTTAAAAATTGGGTGTTGATACATGCTTCAAGAAATGAAATTATCCTGATAAAAATACAAATATCTATTTAAATTACACTGTCAATCGCACTACAACAAACTACCTGTGTCACAACAGCACAATACTTAACAGAGCCAAAGTACCTTATTTGAGAGCTTTGTATAAAATATTAAGAATATGTCTTTCAGTCCAGTAATTCTACTTGTGCGTAATAGTTCACAGAGAAGAAGAGAAGGGAAATGGGGACTTGTTTCTTATCAAAATACTTTGCTAAATATCAAATTCTATTTCTAGCAAATTTTTCAAGTTTGCTAATGAGACCATGGAAGAACACTTTAAAAGCAAATAAATCACTTTTTCTCAAACCATACATACTTTGCAAAATCATATGTAACAGAACTATTTTGCTTCATGACAAAAATTGAATTTTGTACCATTAAAGGGTAATAATATATTTTTTCTTTACACTAAAGCAATGAATAATCTAATTTTCACAATTTTACACACACTGTGTGCTATTAATTTGTCATACAAGGTTAAAAATTACAGAGCTTACTATTAAAATATGGCTTCTGGTATAATTCAATAGTCATGTCTCCAAAATTATGACATTTGGTTATTTTGCTTATTGACATGATATTTCTCTTGGAAAAATTAAACGCACATCATTTATGTGAAGCACTACTGGGAAACTTAATTGATAATTACGGTACAATACCCATGCAGATACAAGAAAGGCCATATATTACAACTAGTTCGCAATTCAAAGAGAGTAGGAAAATAATTGAAAATCTACAATCCATTCTCAGAATTCTGAATCCAAAATTTACAATAGTAATTTACATACACTATGTCAATGAATGAATTAATACCTCATATTGTTTAATTTCCAGTGAAAAATTCGTGAACCCTTAATATTTGAGGAGGTAGTTTGGTTACATAGCATCTACAATTATTCAAAAGTAAACATACTAATAGTGGAACTTTATTATATTGAATCTAAGTTTGGGTTATAAAAAAATTATAGTAATGAGTTGTGGTGAGAAATAAATTTTAACACAGATAAAGAAACTTGAATATATTGATGGAATTAAGCAGAAAGCTTAAAGAACTAGTCATTAGACTAGTCATAACTTATCATTAAATGAACAAATCTCACAGGGTATAAATATTCAAAACCAATAAACACATTTGATTGTTTTCCCAGAACTGTTGGAGGAATTTTACCCAAAATGTTACACAGAGCATGCCAATTAAAAAGCTTCTACCCTGTTGGAGTGTGTCAGTCAGAATGGTAATTTTCTTTTTACTCTCTTCACGGTATCAAGAATCAAACAAATGTTATCAGTTTTTTTAGAGTGGGAGAACATAGAAATAAACATATACATATTAATTTTGGACAGTGAAATGCTCAAAATAAGCAAGTAGCAATTTGTTAAGCTTACTGAACATATTTTTTAGCTAAGACTCCAAATAAATATTTCATTTCCGAAGCCAAGAGATTCTAAGAGTAGTTCTGTATCTTAATCTGCCAGAATTATCCCATTGAAACTATCACTACATTTAATATTCCATTCTTTGCTTTGAACTCCAACCTTTACATTTCACCCTCATGCAAGTACTCACATAAAGTATCAAAAATCCCAGGTAATTGGGACCGAAGGTAGTTTGAATTTTCAAAAAGTTCATATTTTTTAACATGTACCATTTGGACTCTATGAAGGCAATTTTAAACACTTAAATGGGTAGAAGTAAAAATCTTTTTAGTAAAGTCCGAAACACATTCATAAAATAAGAAAATAAAATATTTACATAATTACAATACAGTACAGAGTATAGTTTGGAACTCTGTTCATACCATGGATAACAATGGCAAAAGCTAGCTTTTACGAACTGTTTTTTTCATCTTGGCACATTAGGATAATTGACGGTTTGAAATTTTTGACATTCAAATTATCAACACTTCATCATAATTTATTTCATCACACTTCAAATTAGAATGTATTTAAGTAGTATGAATTGCTATTAAGGACAAGTATATACTACTTCAACAATATATTACCTAGTCTTCAAGTTATCCCTTCAATTTTTATGGAGAATTTGACAATTTTAAAAGTATACATGGTAAAAGATTTTTCCATGATAATTTATTTACTAAAATAAACAAAGAAATGTGTTCAACACTGATAAATAAAAAAAACTCTGGAAAATAGAAAAACCTATTGGTAGTGCAATGATATAAAATATATGTTCTGGTAGTTCTAGAATGAATACACAAAAAGGTGCCAGGCTACTATACATCTACCCCTACATAAAATTAAACTTGCTCATATACTTTACATATATACCATGTTAGGTAAATAGGTTTGGCATTTATATCTTCACTCGAATTCTAACATTACAATAAGAAATGTGTGTTTCGGGGGGGGGGGATGGCGAGTCATTTATTGATTCTATGGTTTCTTCGGTCCAGAGCCATTTTCATTGAATTTATTATGTTTATGTATTTGTGTTCTTATAAATTATATTTTTGCAAATAAACTTCTCACTTTCTTTTTTTTTATAACAGATGGTGTATAGTTTTATGTAAATAAACTACCACACTTTGTTTATTCTGCTTTGCCAACTGACCCGTATCTACTCTTGCACGAAATCTGTTTGCTTAAATGTCCCCTGATGATAATAATATTATAAGACATTTCATTGCCAGAAAGCATTTAAAATGCTCTTAAAGTTGGCATTTTAAATCTCAAAAATGTCAATGTATTGACCCTCATCTTGTCCTGTAGACCTTTCATATTTCTCATAGGGAATTTTTTAGTCTCAGCTCTTAGATTCTTTGGCCCAGACAAATTCTTAAACTCATATTTCACAATTTTCATTTTTTCACAAACAGTACCTTCGGATTTTAGAATAAACTAATGGCAAGCTTCTACATACATTCTGTGAAACTATTTTATTTTAATAAGTCCACAGAATTTTTCACTGACAAGAATTAAATTATCTTCATTCTCTTTCGTGAACTCTCTTATAAAATTCTCTTGCTCTTTAATTCATTAATTAGAAATTAATTTGATATTTACAGTGGCAAATAGTTAAAGAATTACACTATTATTAGAAGCTTATTTCTACAAATTCCTCACATTCTCTCAAACACAGTATCTGAGTTCATGAGTATACATTGAACAGATTGATCAATTCAAAATTTTTAACTCACACATACATATTTAAATTTTCTTTCAATGTGAAATATATTACAAGTTCTTTAAAAAATAACAAAGTACTAAATTGAGAATTTTCTTGCATTGTTTTATCAATCTAAAAAAATACAAATAAAAAAAATATGTAAAATTGAAATTTTACTGTCAAGAACAACCTTAAAACACAACTTTTTCTTAAAAAATAAACCCTAATGTCAACAGAATGAATAATTACAGGGCCTTTGTTAAGTAAATATAAGTGTACAGATGCAGTAGTGATGTAAGTATAAGTGTAGTGATGTAAATATAAGTGTAAAGATAAGTGTAGAGTGGAAACTATTATTTCTGTAAGTGTCCTTGACAATTTTTAATTCTATATTAACATTTGCATTCCTTATAAATTTATTCTGTATCCAACAAAAGATAAATATTAAAATCTTAAAAACCATTTTCAATCAAATTTTTAATCTTATTCTAAATATATTAACAAGAAAAAACATAAAATTCAAATTTTATTATAATGAACAACCGCTATGGTAGAATCAGCTTTTCTTGGACTGGTAAATGTTTATTTCTGGCAAAGTATCAAACTATTTCGAATAACTTTCCAGTTTTGGATTTTGTTTGATAGCAAAATACCATACACTTCTCCTATCCTTTTAAAACATTTTTTAAATATTATTATTTTTTCATAACTTCGTTGACTAAATAAATAATCCCAAAGTGCGTGACTAAGATATGCTAAATTTTACAGGAATTCTTGAGCATAATTGTGATGAGTTGAAAAGAATCTTTTCTGCTCGAGGCATATAAGAAATATAATATTTCAACCTCTAGAAGAACTTGAAAAATGCCCTGAAACCTACATCTGTTTTACATTATGAAGCGCACTTTGAGTTGTGAACTCAGTTGAGATGAGATCACCATATCAACTTGCACAAAAGTATCCTATCTACATCAATTTTATTTGGGTCCAGTTCCAGCAATATTTTTAATGACAAAATTGATATTCCAGACTCACAAATGGACTTGATTTTGAAATGGTTTCAATAGTTACAGTTTTGATTTAAAACCTTGATTTCTTGTCATCAAAAGAGAGAAATCACAACATGATTCAGTCAAATATATCACTGCCAAGTATTAAGATCAAAAGCACAAGTATTTTAAACCAAAAGCAGTAAAAGAAAATTTCAATTTACAAGTAGCAATTAGAAAATTATTTTACATACAAATAATTGCAATAAGGAGAGGGATAATTTAGTCATAATGTATGTATTGCTCCATGTTTAGGGCAAATGTGTGAATAATTTAGGTTTATGCCAGAAATAAAAGCCTGGCCTGTAGGATTTAAATCTGCAAAAAACTGAATTTGGTATGCCTCAAAAGAAAATCAAGGAGGATAGGTTTTCCACTGTTTTAGGAAAAAAATCATGTAAGACAAATAATATTGGCTCTTTAGCAGATATCATTACAGAAGGTTACCTATTCATTGAAAATAAATATTCTAACATTTTTTAAAGAAGTAATACATAAATTATCTGTAAGATGTTTCTTTGCCTTTAAACAAAGTGTAAGTAGCCAAAAATTTACCAAAAGAACTGAATTATAGCTTGCTGAGGGCCCATGCAAATGAGTGTTGCATTGACACGTTATAAGTAGCACATCGTAGAATAAGACTATCTTATGCGAAACAGCACATGGGCACTTTGGCCATTTTGCATGACAGTGGTAATCTACGATACGCATCAATGAAACGCTCGTATGACACTATGTTAATCAACGACACACATCAACGAAACGCTCATGTAGCACAGGTCCAAGTTGTTTCTAAAACACACCCTTGCCCTTGACCAAACACAACCTTATAAACCACACACATTTTTTTATTGCTCTAGCACAGTACCATAGAATGGAGTGGACATCAGACACATCCCTGCATTTCTGAAATACTACTGCAATGCTAAATGTGAGGTCAGAGATAAAGACAATGATTGAAAGACTTCACCTTGAAATCTCAATTTTCATGGTTTTGGAGTTGCAACAGTACTATTCCAGAAAAGTGGGCAATTTTGGTGAATATTAACCTGAACATTAGCTTTTTCATTAGAAATAATTATCTCCTAACTGCAATAACATCCTTCAGACTATTTCCCGATATAACACAACCCATTTTCTTACTTTATTTTTAATAAATATCATTATAACAATTTTGTAAGGTTTTTTTGATAATTCTGTTCTGTGACTACCTTGTATCTGCAGTTTCAGGAAGTTGACAATCATAATTACAAAAAGCAACATTCAGTTTTATAATAATCTCTACCAATGAATATTCAATAGTTACCAAAAATTGTTGAAGCAGTTGAGTCATGCAATCATTTTTGTAAAATAACCTACAGTGAAAGTGGAAACTTCAGACAACAGAGCAAAGATAAGAAAAGAACTAACATTCAGTTATGCGCACTTATAATTCTGATGATCTACACATGGCTGAGAAAGACATTACTGTTGGTTACTTGCCTCAGATTTCAGATCACAGAAGAACCTACAGGTAATAGAGTGAAGGACATCGAAAATAAACTGGAAACTACTATGGGACCACTAAACAAATAGGGAAAGGTAGTGGTGAAGGTAGAAAATTTTGGGCCCAGGGCAATGCTAATGGAAAAAAAAAAAATTAAAATGAAACTTCGAGTTATTTTATTTCAACAAATAACAAAAATTACAAGGTTTATCTAGAAAAAGATTTTGAAAATATATTTTTATTGAAAAGTATTTAGTGATCAAATAATGGTGATATTGAAATGCCAAAAACATTTCTGTTCAGTTAGTTTAGTAAAATCGCTGGTTAAAAACATGAAATAATAATGTGGAACTAATTTTATTGAGTGCATCACTTGATTCATTTCATAAGGTTCTACTGTTTAAATATTTAATTAGTCATTACTTAAAGTAAAAATTGAAAATTTTAGAAAATAATATACTGTACTCTGATTTCGAATTACATTAACGATTTTCTTGAGTTCTAATTTCTTTTTCAATTTTTTGCTATTGTTTTCCCCATCATCAGGCTTTCAGACTTGAAGGGCCCCGAGTGATTGTGCGGTCTGCCCATGCGCTAACACTGGGGAAAGGCATATTCTAACTCTGGAAAGTCTGAAAGTGGAGGTTTTCTCTGAAAATTGTAGCACCAAATTCTTACAGAAATTTTCTCACTAGATTGGATAGAAAAGAAAAACCATTTAAAAATAATCTACCAGCAGTGGAATGAGCATTTACATAGCTAAAAGAGCATTCAGTGATCCTGAGAAGAGTGAAAATATAAGAGCTAGTTTAGGTAACAAAGGATATTAAGGATTATTTTCATTATCTTCAGTCAACTGTCTCTACATTCTTACTAATGTTGTGAATTTTGAGGAAAAAAGTTCTTTAGTTATTGAATTTTGATTAATAAAAATAGTTTTTCCAACAAGGCAATATGACAGTTCATTCATACAGATATTTCTTTTCATTTTGAAAAAAACATCAACTGCCCAAATACAAATCATATGTATACATACATCATATGATTAAATACATCATGTCAGAAAAAAATGTCTGATGTCCTGCCATTTTATGGTTCTACAATTAATAATAACAGGAATAAAAAGTTGGGATCAAGGGGGAAAAAAAATGTGTACCTGAATATATCACAAAAGAGAATTCCCACTGATACAATGTAGCAATCAATAAAATGTATATTTCATAAACCATTACTACAAAATAATGGTCAAACAAGTTGTGTGTGTGCTGAGAAAACCACTTTAGAACATTCAACTTAATTAAAAAAGAAAGGATTAAATTTTTTCCCCTGGCAAACAGCTCCTGCCCAATGATAATTGAAAAAATTTCAATGCAAAATTCCAAGAAACGATAAGGAATAAATTATAATTTTACACAAAATTGACACATCAGTCACTTCATGTCATGGATTTTGTCCTTAGACTCAAAAGGAGATTTTCAGGAAAAAGGTTTGTAATCCACCAGAAACTGCATCCCTTTCCCTTACTTCATATTAATTATGAACAGTAATGCACAGTCTACAGAATAATTGATTCATTATTCCATTTAATGGGAATGTTAATTGTTTTTCTCGTGAAGTTTAGAAAATGTTTGCATGAAATACGTCACAGCTTAATAAAATATCCTCACAAATCACACATTACACAAAAACTACTACAGAAAATAAGTAGCTGAAAACTTGTTTGCATGAAAATACAGTTTGTAGCACTTAGTAGTTTTTTCTATGGACAGGATTTATATCAGTCAAAGATCAAATTAGCTTAAGAGTAAGAAACAAGACAACAGTAGTTAAAAATTTTACATTGTATATTACACAAAATATTAAGTTGATCTTCCATCAACCATTACACATATATTACAAATATAGCATTAGATAAACATACTTTTAATACTGACCCTCCAAAAATAAAAATCCTACACTTCTAATTAAGCAAATGCAATTTCAAAAATATGTAAGAACATCAAAAAAGAAAATGCAAGCTACACAACATTTGACTAGTAAGAACAAATTTGTTATCACACCATTACCTAATAGAAGTACTTAGTTTGTTTTACGTTGCCAAATATATATCTAATTTAAATTGCTCAACTCGATGTGCTGTTAAAACAATTGACTTCTTATTTTAAATAATGTACATAATCTGCAAATAATGTGTTACCAGTATGACTATTTTAGATTATCTGCAAATTATAATCTTAGTTAAGAGTCAACAGGTACCATTGAGACAAAGAATCCAATAAATCAGGGATCTTCGCAAAATATAATGTTTTACACACCTTCAGAGAAGGGTGCTAAATTCTTTAATATTTAAACATAGTAGAGTCTTACTCGAGACGTAGAAACCAAAAGATCATCATCAAAGAATTTAGTTTCGATCACAACATTACCATTCAATACATTTGCTGGCATCATCTGCGATTCTGGAGCAGCCTCAATCATTGATTGCCATGTGTTAGTTGAGTTCGGTATAACAAAACCAAATTCAAAAAACCATTCTTCAAGACACCTGCCCTTAAACAAAACTTTTTGTTCTAATCTAAACTTTTCCATAGGTTCCACTGATGAAAAATTTATTTCACGTGACACTGCTCGACACTTAAGAATTTTCTTAGGAACTCTTGCTTCATGTTCCAAATCGGGGATGGAAAGATCTTGATAACCTTGCCACAGAATTTTTCCAGTATCAGCATCTCTAAGTACCATCCAATTTACTTGAAATCCTTTCATTATATCTTCACCTTTTGGGGACATATTATGAAGACAGATATCTGGAAGCGTAAACAAAGCACACAACAAATACATAATCCTTAATGTGAATATATTTATAAGGTTGTGACAACATTATTAATAGTACTGATTATGTTACTAAATAAACAAAATGTAAACTTTCATAACCACATTTAAATATTGTCTATTAATATATGGTTCAGTACAGGGAGCGAACAGAAATGGGGAAAAACGAATTTGGTAGATACACAAATTGTAATGAACAAATGAAAAAAATTGCAGTATAAATATGTACAATATTCAGAAGGTTCTTTACCTGAATTCAAACTTCGTTGATTATTTTCTAATTTTCCTCATAACTTTAACAAGTAATGAACCTTTTAACACCTTACTCTTAACTCAAGCTACACTGTGCCGAACAAATCTTAAACTTACTGTAATTAACCTTAAATTGTCAGATCCACAGAAAATCCGGTCGAACACTTAAATCGAAGAAATTTTTTCACAGATTCATTAAGAATCTGTTGAGGACAACTTCCATGAATTAATCACTTCTCTCAATCCTTCACTTACGGAAAAAGAATAATTTTTATGCAAGAACCTGCCCCACTCAACAACACTACAACAACCTGCGACCACCTCCTGGGTTGACGTTGGAATGAAGAAGCACAGCTGGCTGCGGCTGACTGGACTCGGATTCCAGTCTACAACCGACTTGCACTGAACGATAATCGTTAAGGCGCGAACGGTTCAAACGTGATTCTAACAGAGAAAATCATGACGGTGGCAATAAAATATCAATTCTGTTAAATACACACGTACGATGACTGCAATAGTTTTCTTAATGTTCAGAAAACTTTTTGTTTTCACCTTATTGTTTTCATAAAGAAAAGATTTTTGTTGTTGTTTTCAAACCAACATAATAATGAAAAATCAAGAATTTTCCTTCTACAAATATGTTTTTTTTAATGTTACATGTCTCATTAAATACATATTCAAGTCCGTTTTAGCTTCGGGGGAAGAATCTTTCCATATCAAAAATAAAAAGGTAGGCTTAATTATTTTCAGAGAAGCAATTAATTTGTTATCTATGAAGCATAGAATGAATTTCTAGCAATATTATTTTCAATTAATCTTACATTATAACTTAAATATGGTGGTAGATGTATGTTACTTCGCCTCTAATGAGATTCTTGCGTACAGTTCTCCGAAGATCACATAATTATAGAAACTTAATAGAAGATAAATTAGTAATTGTTGCATGAATTTTGTATCTATGTAGTATTAAGATATCGATATCACGTGAGAATTCAACAGTAAAATAGTGAACACTCGATATGCAAAAAATATTATACAGTTAGGAGCAGAAATATTTTGCAAGCCGTTTACGGACGTTTCTCGATCATCTTGAGAGACTCAAATATTTGGAATATCTTCTTATAAAATCCTGAGAGGACTGTGTTTTCTGTGCATTTCGAAAATGAATGATACGATTCGAAGCCTATGTAATAGTAAATGATGCCCCACACGGTCAGTCACAATGTGTACGTAATACCACCACAATCTTTTCAATTGCTGTGATAATTATCTTAAGCGCGAATATTTAAGAGGAGTAAGGAGAGGGAAAGTGGAGAAATTATTTTATCCCTTAAAGTATTACTCATATCTGATAAATTCATAAAAATAGTCATTACTATTTTTTTAATATTAAGATATAACCTATTATTACAAAAAGTATAAGTTTTGACGTACATATTATTATTAACTAGCTGGTACCCGGCGTTTTGTTGTCCCGGAAGTACCTCTCCCCTCTGTTTTCATCTCTCTGTGGAAATATTCCTCTCCCCCTCTCTCTTTCCCCCTCTTCTTTTCCCCTCTAATTTTCCGCACTCTCTGTCTCTTTCCTCTCAAGGTCTCTTTTTCCCAGCTGTCTCTTTTCCCCTCAATCTCTCTTTCCCTTTTTCTTTCCCCCTCTCTCATTTCTCCCATTTTCCTGTATTGTGCCGCAGTGCCATCTGGCGGAGTTACAATAATTTTACTACGCGTATGCCGCAATTGCAAGCTATTAGTTGCCTTTTTTTTGTAATCGGATGAACGCATTGAGCACGAACCAACAAACATTGTTTTTAATATATGAGATTACAATGTTTACAGACAAAGAAAACTAATAAAGCATTTCGTAGGGTCACTATCCAAAAACAAACCTATCTAATATAATTATTTTAATTCAAATTCAAATTTTCCGCTTGGAATGTTGAATTTTTCTTATTAGGCGAAATATGACGGATTTACATCGGATGTTTGTATGAAGCATACGGCAAACATGGCTACCGCTGCTTCTATAGTGCGATTTTTCTAACCGTGCCTCTGGCCGGTATCAGCCGTTGACGATTTCGTCCCATCGGGAGCTTGAGCGTCACCATAGTGACATCATTTCAATGACATTTGAGCTCCCGATTGGATGAAACCGTCAAGAGCTGATACCTGCCAGGGGCACGCTTAGAAAAATCACACTATACTATTACTACCACTACGATCACCACCACCCCCACCACCACCACTACTAGTACCACTATCACCATTACCACCAATACTACCACTACTATTATTACCACCACTACTACCCTACCACTACCACTACCACTACCACTATCACCACTACTAACTGTAGTAGTTCGCCATACGTAGATTTCAAATTGTTTTTCAAACAATCGATAAACGGTGAAACACGACACTATAACTTAAAGAAATGTTATGTATAATAATAATAATAATAATAATAATAATAATAATAATAATAATAATAATAATAATAATAACTACACACCTTTCTCCTATTACCACTCCCCGTCTTCCTAAGTCCAACGTCCTAAGCTGAGCGTATAAAACCATAAGTCCCTTGGGATACGGAGAAGCCAAAATTGTAGAGCCTAAAAGGTCAACGGTAGTTACCCTTTTTGGATATGGAAAGGTGACCAGAAACTTGCCTCGGACCAAAGGCGCTGGCTGGAGAGCACCAGAGAAAAGCTGGAGCACACTGTCTGTGACAGCATGCGAACCGCTGTGGTGTGATGTTGAAGAGGCGGCCACACACCGGGATACCCGAAATTACATCATCCAAACAAAGCAGCGCACAAGATCGCTTTGCTGCACCTCA